TTATTATTATTATTATTATAGTTTTATTATTGTTATTTGTTGGGATATTCGGTTATTATTCGGGTTATTCGTATTAGTTTGGGTCTAGGATTACTATTACCTATCTTGTTTAGGAAGTATTCGTTTACTTGTTGCTTTGGGTTTGGGTTTCCTTGTCTTAAGTGGAAAGGGGTTTGTAGGATTAGTCCTATAAATATTTACATTTGCTCTTCGTTTTATTAAGTCGATGAATAAAGTATAAGTAGTTAGTAGAGAAAAGTAGCTCTTTTATCGTGTTTTCTAGTTCTTTCGCTAAATCGTTCGAGATCACCGGTGCGCGAAGTCTCGTTCCGCATCAAAACCTCCTAGAAAACTCTCACGGCCGTGCACAATATTACACGGTCGTGCACAACTTCCTGCATGCACTCCTAAGCTTCGTTGAGCTCGTTTGACCTCCGATTCAGGGGTCATTTGATCCCAGATGCTCGTAGTCTCATCCTCTTTCTTTTCATGACCAGCTTACATGATTACTTGTCAATACCGAGTTTCTCCCCCGAGTCGCCAATTGATCTCCGATTGACTTGAAACTTGCGCCTATGCTTCACTTTACATGCTAGGACCTGAAATGTGACAAAGGAATACATGTGCAAATTCACTGTTATAAAAAAAAATTGCCACTAACAACCCTTCAATTCATAATATTTTCTTAGCGTAAACTAGCAAAGTCGCAAAGCATTTTTCGAGAGTGTATTATGACGTGTAATGATATCTTTAGGTTTAGTCCTAAGAGTAGTAAGATCGATCATAGTTTGACTAATGAATATATGTTATATGTACTTTTAATTTGGAAAACAATTACCACCAGTCGGACAGTCTACTATACTAGAAGATTCAACTTCTAAATTTCTTGAGTTATACATTTATCAAATGGAGAAATCAGTTGAAATTTTATTACCTTGACGTGAAAAATTGAATTCCCTATATGAAGGTTGTCACTAAGTTGAAGGAAATGTTAGATGCTTACAATATTTGGCCTAAACATTTAGATTGATAAAAGACAAAATCAATGAAAGACCATGTAAAACTTGTGAAGTTGAAAACTTTTGGCCATAGGAATATCAGTTGGTCGTAAATATGATCTTCCAACCGATGATGAATTCACAACTCTTATTAGTTGACGTTATTGTTGATCTTGGTCAAACATAGATCCTCCCATGAGTCGAAAATTGGATAATAGATAGCAATCATAAATAAATATATTAAGAAGTAGAAGACAAACACTATTTTAACTTATAAATATATTGTGTTCAAATGACATCCCAACAAATGGATCGAACACGAGGCTTGGTTTACAAAAAAAAAAGCTATCTATCAATCTATCTATACTATATATCATGGCAATTCAAAAGCAATCTCGAGTCTTGCCACATAAGCACTTGGAGGATCCATAATTTGCCAAGTTGGGCAACTTTTTTACACACAAAAAAATTAATTATTAATGTATTTATGGATCTGCATCTCTCTTCTTTAATATTTCAATTTCTTTTATCCAATTATTCTTTTTCATTTATACATTTATTCATTTTTTTTTTTTTTGCTTTGATAATAATTTACATGTTGATAAACTTAACAAAACACATATACATAATATTTTTTTTCAAGTAACAAAATATAAATAAGAAAACAGAGAGTGACATATATCACATTTATTAATAAAAAAATATCTGATTAAACCTTATGAAGTAAATTTTCTACTCATTTTTACTAAAATTGAATGATAAGTTACATTTCGATGAAAATATTAAACAAATGTACGCATAAACAATAATATTTTATCGATTAAACAAAATATATATGAAAAGAGAGAAAATGAACATTTGACATTCAATTACCTTTGAAAATTAACTATATTACTTTATATATTGTTGCAATGAAACACTCTCTTATTCGTAAAGTATATATCTATAAAATAAAACAAGTATTATTTGGCAAAATGTTATAGTATAATTTTGATCGAGTAGTTACAATTAATTATTAAAAAAGACTTCTTATTCATTCAGATCATGTTATAGCTTAAACTCCTCAAATGAAGAGGAATCGCATGTGCAATAATTTTATAATGTGTCCTAATAAGTTCATATTAATAATAGTTTCTCTATATCAGGTTGATTGATCAAACTCTATTGAGATCCTAAGTCGTATGTTAAGAAATTTTATTTCAGACTTGGAGTTATCATCCACAATTATAAATCAAAATTTTCAAAATGACTTAAGTATGATTGTTGATGAACTTTAACTTCACACCCTAGGATGAGACACAAGATTCCTTGACAAATAACATATGTGAAGGTTAGAGAAATCTTTGATGAGAATCTACGATAAACATTACGTTTCATCAACTACTAACCTAGGCATTTACCAACTAAAGGTTGTCAATTTTTAGTAAGATTATCATTTGGGATAAACATATTTATCCAACAATCAAGTATCTTTATCCAAAAATCTCAACCCTCAAAATTGGTTGCCAGTTTGTCCAAACTCGAGAACCACGAATTGATATATGTTGTATAAGATAATAAGTTAATGCAAATAATCAAACGAAATCCACCGATATTGTTCAAATTATAAGACATTTTAAATGCACTTGAAATATGTGTGTATTGTAGGCATTCTTTATCAATTATTAATATATAAGTGATTAAATCTTTGAAAATTACACATTCAACGACCATATTAAGACCAAAATTCTCGATAGTGTGTGTGTGTGTGTGTGAGTGTCTTAGATTGAGATTCTAAACCAACAAATAAACAATGACCACAGGTTAAGGTTCAGTCTAAACTTCAAGAATTAAAAATTGATACATATTGTATAATATACAAAATTTAAGTGTCTTGATAAAAAAAACTAACATCCAAAATGAAAATGAGTCGAGATTAGAGAATTTAATCATCATGAAGGCTAAGGTGTGTGTCAAGTTTCAATATAGATGAATAAATTGATCCAATAATGAAGTATCTTTATTAAGAATTTCTCACTAAAAAGTCCTAATCTTTACAACATTGGTCGAGATTTCGTCCAAACTCGGGGATCGTGAATGTGTATTGGATTTCCAAAGGACCTAAAATTCCAATCTCTTTCGGGGGCTAAATACATCTGACCACAACCATAGGTAGAAGAATGAAAAGAAGCCCAAAAAAAGCAAAAAAGAACATAGCCTCTGATACGATGAACAAAATAAAACCATATCGAGCTATGATCCTGTCATTCCTACCATTTTATTCTCCATAAAGAGGGCGGTGGGATAGGATATGAAATAAATAGTAGGATCTTAGGATTTGCCTCTTTATATATTACATATCGAATGATAGACAACTCCAATGGTTGTCTGACGTTATGGGGGTAAAAGCGGGATCTCTATCCCGAAGGTAGGGGATAGGCAAGTAGCAATTTTAATATGAGTATTAGGAGAGATAAGATAGGTCTGACGAAATATCTGGATAATTTTGAGTCTACTGTATATACCCCCCCCCCCCCCCCAACACACACACACACACACATATATATATATATATATATATATATATATATATATATATATATATATATATATATATATATATATATATATGGTGCCTTCTACGGTACCCCGGGTGAAATCCAGGGTACCGCATACCTTAAGTATGAAAACACTATCTAGACCTCGAATTAGCAGGATTTGTGGGCATGATACTATACCCTAACCCTTAATGAGTGAACCCTAGGTCCTAATTATCTAAATCATAAACTATAAACCCTAAGATGGTCCATTGATTTTTTTGCCTATATTTGGACGAATCATAACCGTTGATTATTGTTTCTAATTAAATTGATCTTGGGCTATACGATTTAGAGAATTAAGACCTAGATTTTGATCTTTAAGGGTTAGAGTATAGTATCATGTCCGAAAGATCAGTAAATTCAAGTTCTGGATAGCATTTTCTTACTCAAGGTATGCGGTACCCCGGATTTCACCCTGGGTACCGTAGAACTCCCATATATATATATATATATATAGTTAGAAACAATAATCGACGGTTATGATTCGTCCAAATATAGGCAAAAAAATCAATGCACCATCTTAGCATTTATAGTTTATGATTTAGATAATTAGAACCTAGGGTTCACTCATTAAGGGTTAGGGTATAGTATCATGCCCAAAAATCCTGCTAATTTGAGGTCTAGATAGAGGTTTCATCCTCAAGGTATGTGGTACCCCGGATTTCACCCAGGGTACCGTAGAAGGCACTATATATATAATATCAAGGTATACTATACTTTTGATTTTACTCAAAATACGATAGAAGATAGGTATGACGAAGTATGTGCATAAATTACAGGTTAGAGATTTAGGGATTGGAGTTCACCTATTAGAGGTTAGGGTATAGTATCATGCTCCAAAACTCCGGTTAATTTGGGGTCTAAATAGTAAAACTCAATGGTCGTATGGTAGTGTGAATGCAAGAGTATAGTGCACACTAGCTTGAACTATATATGTGTGTGCGCGGTTCAGGTTGACGCTACGCTAAATATTAGTGTGTTGATTGACAAATTTTGACATAAAATCTAAATGGGACGTGACACGACATAATTTATGATTAGAAAACCGAAACATCACTAATGAGTGTGCTAAATATTGAAAATTTTCAATATAAACATACTACGAACTCTATTATAAATCACTAAGATAATAGAAGATCGAAAATGATTTAAACATATAAATAAGTTAATTAATATAAATTATAAAATAACTCGGCCAACGGGTCGATTAAAAAGCTAGTATATGTTTGTGCGGAAAACCACCACTTCGACGCAACCAAAGGTTGGATTAGGGAAAAAAAAGGGGAGAAACGAAAAGAAAAACAGCAGAAAAATTTATAAAAAAAAAACACTAAAATAGACGTCGAAGTATTATTCTGATTTTTTTTTTGGTAGAAATTATTCTGATTTCTGAAAAAGAATAATGAAGAGAATAAATTTATTTCTGGGTCAGCTACGAATACGATTGGAATTGCCGGTCTTCCGCTTTCATCTGCTCTTATCTCGGGCTTCGCTTTCGGGGAAATTGGGATCTCTCTCTTTCGAGTCCTTGATCCTCTGGCTTCGGCTGTAATAGTTTTCCGCTTGGTCCCGATTTCGTTCTTCCTCAACCCGCTTTCTCCGTTGTCCAATTCCAACCCTTGAAATTCGTCGGCACGAATCTTGGAGCAGATGGCCAAGAGATCCGTGCCTCTTCTGAAGCAACTTCTCTCCTCTTCCTCCGCCGCCTCACCATCATGCTCCTCCCGCTTCACCTCTCACCGATCTGTCACCTACATGCCCCGTCCCGGAGACGGTACTCCACGCGCCGTCACCTTGATTCCCGGCGACGGAATTGGCCCTCTCGTCACCGGCGCCGTTGAGCAAGTTATGGAGGCGATGCACGCTCCTGTCTACTTCGAGCGCTACGATGTCCACGGGGATATGCCGAAGGTGCCGCAGGAGGTCATCGACTCGATCAAGAAGAACAAGGTCTGCTTGAAAGGAGGTTTGGCCACTCCCATGGGAGGCGGCGTCAGTTCTCTGAACGTCCAGCTGAGGAAACAGCTTGATTTGTACGCTTCCCTTGTGAATTGCTTCAATCTGCCTGGATTGCCCACTCGCCACGAGAATGTCGACATCGTCGTGATTAGAGAGAACACCGAAGGCGAATACGCCGGGCTGGAGCACGAGGTCGTCCCTGGCGTCGTCGAGAGCCTCAAGGTATCACCGAATCGGATTTCCTTTTGCTTTTTTTTTCTCGATTGGAAAAATTGGTCGATCCTCCCTGGAGTTCAATGTTAGAATCTCATACTACATGGTTCGCTAGGTGATTACGAAGTTCTGCTCAGAGCGGATTGCTAAGTATGCCTTCGAGTATGCGTACCTTAACAACAGGAGGAAAGTTACTGCGGTGCACAAGGCGAACATCATGAAGCTCGCTGATGGCTTGTTCTTGGAGTCCTGCCGTGAGGTTGCTACCAAGTATCCCGGGATCAAGTACAACGAAATCATTGTGGACAATTGCTGTATGCAACTTGTTTCCAAGCCCGAGCAATTTGATGTTATGGTAAGGAATCATTGTTTCTCATTCCTGAGAGGCAGAGAGAGTCCTTTTGTTTAGTTGTTGATTGACATTTTCTTAACTGGGTATTGAAGCATGGTGTTTTGGAGTAACTAACATGACTTCATACCAGATGTTGGGAAGTGATCCGTCCACATTTTAGATTGTATTACAGAATCTAAGTACAGAATCAAGAACGGAATTTGAAAAGTGAACTTTTCTTTGACTGGCCAACCATAGTGTGAAATTCTTGATACCATTGGAGTGGTCTAAAGACATTTTGAAAATGTTGGGTTTACTTTAGTATCATTTGGCAAAAATAGTCATAATACTTGCTATAGGTTGTTCTCTAAGCTGGAACATGTTATGTAATGCATCCAGAGAACCATCAATTGGTCAATGAATATGAGATAAGAGTGTAACTGATGACATTTGATGCAAAGTCCTTAGAGGTCTATGGTGTTGGCAACTTGTTTGTGGTTGTCCACTGTAACCTGAGTTCGAAGCTCAGGGCAAAGCATCTACTATGAAAATCTTGTTGTGTGCCATTCAATTTTGTGATTGGCTTCTTATCTATAATACGCTCTCAATTTTAGAGGCTGCTAATGCTTGCTCTGAAGCGCATAAAGACTTTTCCTTCGTGTTTGTAGGTCACGCCTAATCTTTATGGAAATCTAGTTGCAAATACAGCTGCTGGTATTGCTGGTGGTACTGGAGTCATGCCTGGAGGTAACTTGATCCAAGCTTCATTTTTGTCTATTTTATGCTATTTCCAGTATGAAAATAGTGATGAGTTGTTCTGGTTAAGCATATATCCAACTTTGCTGCCCAATACCTAGGAGCAATATAATGAGCATTGTGAAAGATTCACCTAATTGGATAATTAGGGTTGGAAAAGTAGCTGAATGTCTACTTGATCTTGTGGTGGTACTATAGACCTCAATCCTTTTATATGAAGATACTATGTCCTTAAATAGCATATATTCCCATTCAGCTCTGGTAAGACATGCATGAATGGGGTTTTACTATTCATTTACAAAACGATCCAAATGGGTCCTACCCGAATTGGATCCAACCCAATATGCGTTTGAGCTACCCTAATGGACGGTGACAATTGAATTAAATGCTATACTGGTTGGTTATTGGCACTGCAGGCAATGTTGGTGCTGATCATGCAGTGTTCGAGCAAGGTGCTTCGGCAGGAAATGTAGGGAACGAGAAAGTAACGGAACAGAAGAAAGCAAACCCAGTTGCTCTGCTGCTCTCTTCTGCCATGATGCTAAGACATCTTCAGTTCCCATCATTTGCTGATAGGTTGGAGACTGCTGTCAAAGGTGTGATCTCTGAGGGCAAGCACCGGACCAAGGACTTGGGAGGCAGTAGTACCACCCAAGAGGTTGTTGATGCGGTCATAGCTGCTTTAGACTGACATCCCGTTGCCCGCCCGTCTTCGACAGGAAACACTTTACGTTTTGGCGATTGGCTTTTGGCAAACTTGAGAAACGGGGGAAGAAAGTCCCTCCGTTCATTATTGAATATTTTTCACTCTCGTACTTTTTAAAGTGTACCGTTTTCTGCATGCGAGAGAAAAGCTGGAAAGTATCTGTATTTTTTCCGCCTCAATAATATTCACTCATATTCACTTGGCTAAACGACAAATGCTCTGTCACCTGAATCAACGGCTTGTATGTATAGGTTAAGTGAGAAGTTGCTGCAGTTGTGCAATGCAGAGTTTCTTCCTGTTTCCTGCTTGCATAGAGAGGGGTGGCTCTCCCATCTTCTTTCAGAAACCAGATTAGTGATGGCAATGGAGCATGGTGGGGTGGTGATTCGAGTCTAATTATACATATTTGCACTCTTGAGATTCATTGTAGTTGAGGTTGTTTTACACTAGATGGTGCATGGTTGAGTGTATTTCAGGTCTCGGCAAGTGAAAGAACCAAAGGAAGCCAAAACGGGACAAAATAGAGGAAAGTGTCAAAGTTCACTGTTCAGAGCCAATTTTCATGGTTCGACCTTCACATTCACAAGAGTGAGGATTACACAAGTTCCACAATGCCAGATACATCTATGGTTTGTTTGGAGATGTCGCAGTTTGCTAACTATTACAATTACATTGACGGTGTAAAGACTGCACACCTTCATATGTGTAAGGAAGTGGTTAAGCACCATACACGGGTCTGTATAAAATCCAGCATAACCTTCTCCCAACAACTCGAGTTATTGGGACTAACTGGTTTATGACATGGTATCAGAACTGGTTGTCCGTGAGGTCACGTGTTCAAGTCCTCACGGCCCCCAATATTAATCGTTGTCTTTCAAGCACATGGTATGGCGGGCCTGTGCAAACTTCAAGCCCATGAGTCGGCTTTCGTTTGAGGGGGCGTGTAAGGAAGTGGTTAAGCACCATACACGGGCCTGTATAAAATCCAGCATAACCTTCTCCCAACAACTCGAGTTATTGGGACTAACTGGTTTATGACAATATGGCCTCTTGCATCTCGCGGGCGCATGTAAATCTCAAGGTTGCAAACCGTGAGAATTGCACCAAACCATAAAGTGTATTAAGTGAAACAGTGCTGACTCGCACAAAACTACACCGCGAATTAATCCCGACTAGAGCCAAGTTTTTAAAATCTAGCAGGGTGTACTATAGGGCAAGTATTTTAGAATGTCGACCCGGGCCGGTCCATGTAACCCTATTTCAATCGCTTTGTTTGTTATCTAGCAAACGGTTTTTTGGTTTAAATCTAAGAGCTAATAAAACTACAAACTAAACAAACAAGCAAGGGAAGTAGATCGAGGAGAATTCTATACGAGAGGACTTCACTTGGGTATTGCTTCCCCTAGTCTTGTATTAAGAAATCATGAACGAAACTCTATTGAGAAGGATGCGTTCCTGTACCGTGAGGTGGGTGCATCTAGCTAGGGGCGAACTCTCCTAGTCGATCGATTAAGGGTTGTGACACGAAGCTAGGGAATTTAGCTCTCTTAACCGATCAGCCGAGGAAACCTAACTCCCTTAGTTGACCAATTTAGGATTGTTGCATTAAGTTAGCGGTCTAACTCACTTAACCTTTCGGTTGAGGATTGCAACTCTAGGCTAGACGATCTAGCTCATCTAAACCGGTTGACTAAGGATTGCAAACCAATCACGTGGGAATCAAGGTGCTACTCGGATATTTGAGGTTTAGGCCCTAGATTAACATAGAAAGGGATACCCGAGTGGGTAGGAGGTCAAGCTCCCTATGGCCCAAAGGCGGATTTCCACCTCATAGGTCTAATTTTGACCAAACAAAGAGATAATGCAAGCAACACTCACTAATCATGATTAATTTAAGGTTTGTCCTAAACTTGACTAGATGGGTGACACAACTTGGCCAAGAATAAAGCTTCCCATAGCCTCTGTCAACAAAGTGATTCTCTCCACCTAGGTCAAAATGACCCAATCATGAGTAAAAGCTAGCACACTCAATCATCCATGAAAAATAACTCAAATATTATATAGAACACACAATCAACACAATAGAATAAAGTTCTTACATCCTAACATACATCTAGACTAGAATTCACAATACCCAAGTGAGTAGGAAGGCTAAGCTATAGCTAGGCAAAGGAAAACAACAAAAAGGAGAGAAGAAACATGGAGAGATGAAGATCTTCCTTCCTTCTTGCTTGAATCTCCCTTGAGAAGATGAAATCTTCAATCCTCTAGCTTGAATTGAGCCCAATCTCATTCTTCCTCCTTTGAATGGCACTTTCTCTCTAGAATGGGAAGAGGAAACTCTAATCTCTCACTGGAAAACCCCCTTTTATTCCCAAAACTTAAACCTAACCCAAGCCCCCTCTCTCCCTCATCTCAAAGCCCTTTTTATACCCAGATCGAGCCCATTTCACGGTCGGGGAAGCCAGTTCACGGTCTTAGACCGTGAACTGAACTCTTGCCAGTAACCTGTGGATCCGTTCTGGAAATTGCCAATGTCACGCCCAAAGGGGAATTGTCTTGGTCATAAGACAGTCTCATTGGACCTTTGCCCGTGACAATTCATTCTCAAGCCCAGTGATCAATTTTCAAGGTTTGTTGAGCGTTACATTTGACCCCTGCCCTTGACATTAGACTGTTCTTCACTTTACTTCACTTTTTGGAGCTTTATGCACTCCAATCGTCCCAAAACTCGTCCTCGACCTTCCCACACGTACTAGGACCTGAAATATGACAAAAACCAGCACAACCTAGCGTGAAATATGTCGAGGGATGACAAAAAGCAAAGTCAAACTATCAAGAAATGAGGGATAAAATGTGTACAATTAGGCTCGAATCACTCACCCACACTCGGACGTTTGGTTGTCCCCAAGCAAACCATTTCAAACAAGGTAGTATATCAACGTAACAAAATAACTTGGGGACAAATCAAATGGTACAAAGTGGCGAATCTCAATGGCTATTGGAAATCAACACATGGATCGTTGCAAGCGATACCGACATCCACCACAAACGACATCGGGGCCACAAAAAACGGGCAAACGAAAAGTTCTCAGCTTGTTCATGGATCAATGCAAGTCTCAACAAGATCACTTATCAACCACAACTAACCATGCATAATATTCAAGTCCAAGGAACAAACGAATGGGCAACAAAGGTCCTCACCGGGGTATGATATGACATGCAAAGCAAGAATGAATCACTCGCTCTCTTGACCAGTGGGGTCAGGACCTTTTGGTGCAAAGAATGTACACTATCATCAACACTTGGCCCTATCGTCTCAACACCACGATGACAACCTCTAAATGCTGGAGTTCACGGGACAATTGTCATCACTAGCTTGTCTGGATTCTTAGACACGTGTTCAAATGATTGGCAATTGTCTTGGACATGGGGAAAATGCCTTTTGGATGGGGGCAAACACAACATGAGGTTCTACATCTTCAAACTAAACCCGAAGATTCTATGGTTTCGACTAAGAACATTGCCCACATACAATGGCCACTAGCATCGGCCAAAAACATTGCGTCTCCCTTCCAACCTATCATCTATCATGAACTACCTTTAAGCGCTCTTCCTCAGTCTACTCTTGCTATCACATTTCGACTTGGTAGTGAAGGAGTTCTAAAACAATGTGGGGGTTTTAATGGCTTGAGTGCCAAGAAACCCTACTTAGAGCATACTCTTTGATTCTTTTGTGGCACTCTCTACTTTGTTGACCCCGTTTTATTTCCTTTTTTTCGTTTCCCTTTTCTTTCTACTTTCCCTTTTTTCTTTTTATTTTCTTTTTGAGGGGGGTAGTAGAGAGTTAAACACTTGCCACACTACTTTTAACAACCAATGCTCTCCTTTAAGAAATCACTACAACACTACTCTTTTCTCTTTCATTCCTAGCAAGAACCGCACACAATCCTCCTATGTAGAAACATAAATGGAACTCAAAAGCGAGAGCTCCGAGACACAAGGACGATATACGTATAGACACGAAGAAAGGATGGGGGGTCGTTCTATCAAACACCATAAGCTCGCAAGCAAAAAGCTCCTAGCATGAGAACGACCCGCAAAGTCACAAGGCTCAAAGGGGTTGACTAGGGGATAAAACATTTTGGGACAATCAACATTTGGGCGTGGACTAATCCTATGCCTCCATCATACTCACTAGTGATAACTGTGATGTTACTTGCCATGGTAAGAGGGATCTAAGCACACAAGAAGAAAACGATCGGCTCAAAACTCACATGGCTACCTAGTCACCCAATCATTCATTCCACTTTCAGAAAACACAATGCATGGAAATTGTAATCAACAAGTAATCGAGTCAAGATATCCATTCATTTTTGCACACATGAGAAAAAAAATTTTGCACTATCCTAATGCACCTCTCAGTCATCATCATAGGACACACTCGATCACATGCAACAATTTAATGTCAATGCCAATAAACACGAGATTCTCCCACAAACCGGCCACTTTGATCATGCATACATTGCTTGAAGCCCTCAGAATTTTCAAATTTGGGCATACATCAAGGCTCCAAGAAATCAATCACAGGCACAAGCATAATAGATAGACTACCCCCCCCCCCCACACACACACTTAAGCTCGACATTTCCCTCAATGACGTAAAATAAGGAGTAGAACGATGTTACCGCATAGCTTGGCAAGTGAAAGTCGGGACCGAATTGGGTCGGAGATGAAGAAGAGAAAGCTCCAAGTAGACCAAAAAAAAAAACACACACAAGCTCGCGCAAGGCGAGGTTATTGCACAACAATACTTAGCATAAAAATAAACACAAACCTAAGTTGGGTTGCCTCCCAAAATGCGCTACTTTTATGTCATAAGCTAGACGGTTGTTCTTCAAGTCTCGGTCCATGCTAGCACCTCCTTGTAATTGAGGTTCCCATCGTGTAGGCGGAGCCTCAAGTCACAAGCACACGGAATGGCAATTGACGACGCGTCATGAACTTTAGTAGTTTGAAGCCTCCACCCTTGAGACCTCTCCTTCTCTTTTTCTCCTTTCTCTTTGCCCCAAACCGGATAAAACACCATCAACTTTCCACCACCGCATCCATCAAGGAAGAATGATGATGGTGTGGCTTTGGTCGGGCAAAGAGTGATCGCAAAAGGATCCTTGCTAAGTAACTCTTCGAAGTTCGGTGGAGATTTTTCGATAATCACATGGCCGATGCAAGCCTCTTCCACCGAAACTTCCTCCTTAGCGCAAAGGACAATTGCTTCATCCAACCCCTTCTCTTCTTCATATTCCACCTCTTTTGGATCATCAAGAAATTCTTCTTCGTAAGCTTCTACATCCTCCACAACTACTTCTTTCCTTATCTTTCCTCGCTCTTCCGCAAGCAAGCGTTGAATAGTGAGTCTCCAAGCCATGTCTTCGATTGGCTCGGCCCGCATCTCCTGATTGAGATCCTCCTCTTTAACGCTTGGGATGAAATGTGGAAGAGTGGTGGCTACCTCAAGAGGACA